AAATGATATTCACTTTTTTTTGGATACACAAACACCAAAAAAATTTGACAACGTAAAACTTTTTAAAAAAAAAAAAAAAAAAATAAACAAGGCCAGGTATTATAAAATGAAATTTTTTGTTTGTTTGTTTGAAATATGATTCTCTTTATCTGGATATATGGAATTGATCTATTTCTTTTCTGTGAATAGTGTCTTTTTCTTTCTTTGAACCAGAAAAAACGATGAATGAATGAAAAAAGATGGATTAAGAATGAATGAAAATGATTTTGAATGCTGATGTTTAGATATGTGTGATTCATACAAAAACAACAACAAACATTCGCATAGAGAAAGTATAGCAGAAATAACCAAAAAAATCAAGGACCGGTTCAATCAATGTCCAGTTTGGTAGGGTGATCCTATTTTCCAATGAATGACAATGAAATGAATGAAATGAATGTATATATAGAACATTTGTATTCGTAATTCCCAAATAAAAAAACAAGGTTTGGTCGATTATTAACACTATCTTAATACTTATCATCATCATCATATTATATGAGTCACAAGTAACAAAAAATTGGATACATTGTATCCAATTTTGTAAAGAAGGAAAACTTTTTCCCTTTTTCAAAATACAATGAATTTTTTTTTTCGTTTGTTCTTGAACACCTTATATACAAAAAAAAAAGACGAAAAAAATTATCAAATAGCAGGTGTTTCAGACACACACACATTCCTTACCTTGAATAACCATTATTGTTTTTTTTTTGTTTGGAAGAAAAACACGCGATTTTTGTTCAAAAAAATATTGTAATTCTTTGGGAAAAATGACAAGAAAAAAAACAATTATCTGGAAGTCAATTTTGTTTCTGGAAAACGGGGATCGATTACAAAAAAGTGTAAAATTAATGAATTATCATTTGTAACATTTATGACAAATTTTTTCTTTCTTGCTTTTTGCCCCCAAGATTAAAATTTTGTTTGTTTTTTCTGTTTCCAAAAAAAAATCAATTTCATCATCAAACAAACAACGAAACATAAATCATTTTTTGAATTTTCAAAACGAAAAATGAAAACAAAAATAATCATATTTCATTCATTCTGAAGTAAATTTCCAAAAAAAGAAATTGAATCCAGACGAAAAAAAAACACATTTTTCATCAATCTTGAAATCAAGTGATTCAAGTGGGCCTTTTTTTTCTTTCTGATTTACTTGTATGACATCATTAAATCCATAATGATTTTGTTTTGTCAATAACAAAATCTTGAAATTATGAATCAAAAATGTCACCATTCTCATCATAATCATCGTAATCATCATCATCATATCGTGTAATCAACCTGATCATTAAATTTTAATGAGCAGAAAGAAAAAAAAAATTTCAATTTTTTAAATATACAAAGTGAGATCACAAGAGTCGATCAAGAAATAAAAAAAAAGCTAAAATCAATCATCATTAGTCATTAATGTGATTTTTTGTTTCCAATTCAATTTCAAAGTTTCGAATTCATTCATTCATTCATTGTTGAACTTGTTTCGAATCGTATCATTTTTTTTTGAATTCAAAGAGTGGAAAAAACAATCTAATCAATAATTATTGATCAGATTGCTGCAGTTTGTCTCTCTCTCTCTCTCTCTCTCTCTCTCTCTCTCTCTCTCTCGCTCTCAGTCATTAATCAAATTTGAAATAATAATAATAATAATTTAATATCGAATGATTGATGAAACAAAAAAAAAACAGGCAGGATCATCATCATCGTTTAAATGTGGTTTTTTTATTTANTTTCGAATTCATTCATTCATTCATTGTTGAACTTGTTTCGAATCGTATCATTTTTTTTTTGAATTCAAAGAGTGGAAAAAACAATCTAATCAATAATTATTGATCAGATTGCTGCAGTTTGTCTCTCTCTCTCTCTCTCTCTCTCTCTCTCTCTCTCTCTCGCTCTCAGTCATTAATCAAATTTGAAATAATAATAATAATAATTTAATATCGAATGATTGATGAAACAAAAAAAAACAGGCAGGATCATCATCATCGTTTAAATGTGGTTTTTTTATTTATTGAAAAAAAAGTAGACAATTTTTGAAGAAAAAAATGGAATCAATCTATGAATTTGTACGGTTCTGTTGTGTGTTTAGTGTGTGTGTTTTGCAATCATTTCAATACACTAAAACAATGTTTAAGAAAAAATATATGGAATTTGTTGCTGGTGGTGATGGAATGGGTTAAAAATAATTCTGTTTTTTTTTTTGGAATAAAATACACAAATTTTTTGTTTGTTTGTTTTGGAATGAAAAAAAAATAAAATCTCAACAAAAATTAAAATGATGAAATTAAAATAATAAAATAAAATGTATCCGTGTGTGTGTGTTTGTGTTAAAATCCATTATTATTATAACCGATCACATCACGATAATTGAATTAAAAAAAAAGAGGAAAAAATTGATTACGATTATAATGAGTGTGTGTGTGTGTGTGTATGGTCCATGTAATTCTGATCATTTATTGACTGAAATCATAATCATTTTTCATTGATTGGTCGCCAACATTAGTCGTTGTTGTTTTGTTGTTTTTTCGTTTTTCACTTTTTCTTCATACAGTTGTATTCAATTTTTTCAATCGTTCTAATTCGATCATTATGATTGTTATATTTTTTTTCTGTTCAGCCCAATCATTAATCAAATCTTTCATAACAATTTTTGATTTTCGTTCACTTTCCATTAAATCTTTGATTGTTGTTTGCTATATATAATATTGTAAAAAACGAAAAAAAAAACAAAAACAAAGGATTAAAAATCAATTCATAAACAAAATATAAATATTTTACAAAAATAGATTTTGTCTTTTAAAAAAATGGAATTAATTTAAAATTCAAAAAACAAAAACATTACCATTTTATCCATTGAATGTTGTTGTTGTTTAATAAATGTATCAATACGAATATCCATTGTTGATATTTTTGTACGAAGCTCTTGTATTTCTTGTCGTAATTGTTCATTTTGTTGTTGTTCATTTTTCAATAAATTTAATCCATTATTAATGTTTGTTGATGATGATGATGATGTGATTGAATTTGGACTTAATGCTGTACCATTAGATAGTTTTTGATGATCACTTGTTGTTGTTGTTGTCGCAGCCGTTGTTGTTGTTGTTGTAATTGAATTGTTCAAGTTATTTTTAATATTACTATTAGCAGATGGACGTAATGATGGAAATAAAAATAATGATGATGTTGTTGTTGTAGGTGTATTTGTTGTTGTTGTTGTTGTTGTTGAATCATTAACATTTGTATTATGATTCAATAAACTTGGTTTATTCTGTTTCGATACAAATGGTTTTGATATTAATGTTGTTGTTGTTGTTGATGATGATGATGATGATGATGTAGTTGTACTTGTAGATGATGATGATGATGATGATGTACATAATGATGAGGATAAGGCCGTTTTGTTTAATAAATTTTGCGATTGGCTATTGTTGGCTATAGTTGTATTTATAGTTGTGGTGGGGGTGGCAGTTGCCGTTATTGTTGTTGTTGCTGTTGATGGTGATGAAGATGATGAATCTGTATTATCTAATCTATTTATATTACGTTGACGTTTAGCTTCTTGTGCTTCACGTAATTCTAACATCCATGGTAATAATTTTTGTGATGCTGATGATGATGATGTTCCACCACTAATAATTTCTTTATTGCTAGGCCCAATACTGCCACCTTCTGTTGGTTGTCGATTATTATCCAAATCACCATTTAATGAAGATGATTCTGTAGTTGGTATAATTGTTGGTGATTGTATTGGTTGTTGTATATCATTATTTGTCAAAGATGAATTCAAACCATTTTCATCATCAATCATATTTGGATCAAAATCTTTACCAAAATATAATGATGGTGGTCGTCGAGAATTTGTTGGTATTTTTGGTCTTTGTTTAGTTGGATGATATAATTTTGATGCATTATTATTATTATTATTGTTATTATTATTATTACTGTTGTTATTATTATTTGAATCGATACCATTTTCATTATTATTATCAATAACAATATCATCATCCATATCAGAAGTTGTATTATTATTATTATTATTATTATTTACTGATGATGATGATGATTGTTGATGAAGCATTTTTGTTTTAATATTTTTATTATTAGTTATAATGTTTGATTCTTTATTATTTTCTGCTGTTGAATCTTTATTATTATTAGTCGATGTATGAAGATTACGATCAGGTTTTTTGACTCGATTCAAAAAAAATTTTGATGTTGATAATGTAGATTCTTCTTGAACATTTGCTTGTTGTTGTTGTGGTGATGGTTTAATAATTTCAACAAAATTATCTGGAAATAATGCTATACGACCATTTAATTCACCTTTCCACCATCCAGCATCTTCATTTTCTTTTGAAATTATTGTTATTATATCACCTTCTTTTATAGTAAGCTCATCATCATTTTGTGCATCATAACGAAACAATACTTTTGCTTGTTCACGTTGAGGTTTTGGTGGTAATTTTGGTGCCATCATTGCAACAAATAAAAAACAATAACAGCAAAAACAACAGCAAATTGAATGAATTATGATCTTATTCTTATTTTTGTTCTATGACAATTTTATGGTCGACACTTATAAATAATTTTTTATATATAAAAACTTTGAATATAAAATATAAAAGATCTCATTTATCTAATCATCTGGTATCCATACCATATAATAATAATAATATCGACAGCCAGTTAGTTATTTTTTTTATATAAAGAATAATTAGATCAAGGACAATTGGTTATTTTCAACAACCAAACAAAAAAATGATTGATATTATCGTTACAATAAGATTTTGCCTTTCCCCAACCAAAAAAAAAAAACACTTTTATAAAACCAGGATTAATAATATCTTAATGAATTGTTGATTGTTAATCGTATATATTTGAGATTTTGATTGATTGATTGATTGATATTAGGCACTTTTAAAAAAAATTTGAAATGGAATGAACAGTGTTTCTTTTAAAAGAAAAATACTGATGATAAAACTCTTGTCTATGAGGATGGAACAAAGAAAAAAAAACTTATTAGTAAATTGATTGATTGATTGATTGATAAAAAAAATCCAAACCTTTCATCTGATTCAAAATGCAATTTAGGAATTTTTTTTTTTGTTTTTTAAATATAAAAATTAGATTCAAGGCACCAATTTGAAAGAAGGTTTTTGTTTTTTATTTAAGACACGGTTCTGGATTGCTAAAAACAAATTTTGTTGTTATAAAACCTGGAAAAAACGAAACAAACAAACAAAAACAATCATTAAAATAAAGAAAATATTTGCATTTTGTAAGAATTGACGCCCAACAACCAACAAAACAAGAAACACAACAAAAAAAAAACAAAACAAACTTTTAGGAAATGAACAGGTGTTCGGATTTGAATATCAACAAATAACGCGTGTATAACAATCGAAAAATTCAATAAAAACCTAATGACAAATTCAAAATGAATTTACAAAATTTTTTGACCAAAAAAAAAATAATGATTGTTCGATTTGATTCGAAAATAAAGGTGTAGACACAAAGCAAAACAAAACACCTATACGTATACACATTATGGCAATACATTTTTTACCATCACTTATCACCTACCTGTATATCAGTATTGACAATAATACACGTATCTAATAACATAGATAATTACGTTGCATAGATATATTCAAATAACTAACTAAATGATGAAAAATCACGATTGAAATGATGGATTTTTGCTTGTTTGTTTGTTTTACATTATCAACATTATATTATGTCAAACATTTAGTCAAATTAAATTAATTAATGTTTTATCAATGTCAAATTTTTTTTTATATTAAAAATGGCTAACAACAAACGGATGATGATGATCATCATTGTTTTTCAAAAAACAAAAAAAAAAAGTTTTACAATTGTTTAAGCGTGGGTGGGTCAGTGTTTTGGGTATTTTTTTGAAAAAAAACCTTAACTCGATGTTGGCAAAACAAAACGAAAAATGGATGAATGAAAACTATCATCATCATCATCATGTTCTGCCAGAAGAGGAAAAAAGATTCGTTCATTTTTCTGGTTAGTTCTTGATGATTTTTCAGGTTACGCACCCGAAGAAATTGATTCTTTTCATTTATTTATTTTTTAATCGTTACAATTATGTTTCGGTTGGTTGAACTGGTTATTATTATTATTGTTTTTTTGGTTGTTGTTGATGGAAATAGAAATTGAGAGAAAAGAGAGTTGTTTGACATTATTCAATATGCATTGTATGTGTGTGTGTGTGGGTATGCGGTATATGTGTGGATGAATGGCAAAAACATCGATAATTATGATGATGATTTTCTAAATTGAATTTCTATTGCAAAAACAAAACAAAAACAAAAAATGACTAATCATAATTGTATTAAAATGCTTGAATTTATTATGAACATCCTGTATATATTTTTTTGTTTGAAAAGAAAATGATTTCCTTTGGAAAAACATTAACAAAATATCAGTCAACGAATTTACTGTTGTTTTTCAATATGAAAAATTCTGATTGAATTCAATGTTGAAAATGAGAAAAAACTTACCCAATTCTATACACACAAATTTGCTGTGAACCACAGAAAATATTGTTTGAAACTAAACAAAAAAAAATCTAGACCAACAGACAAAAATCCAAAATAATTTTTACAATTTTGAAAGATAAAGTTGCAATAAAAACGAGCAATAATAATAATAATAATGATGATTTGAATGATAAGTATGCAACACACAAATGGAACAAACAAACAAACAAATATCACACATATAGGATATTCAATCACATTTATAATTAAAAAAAACAACAAAGTTGATGAATTGATCACAATGATGATAATAATCGTCAATTGATTGATTCCTTGTAAAAAAAATCCGTTTTATTTTGGTTTTATAAGTGATCAATTTGAAATCTACAAACCAAAAGAAGAAAAAGATAAAGATAAATATCCAAAGTAATATTTATAATTAATATTTTTTTTTTAAAAAATGAAACATTTTAATCGTTATCATCAACATCAACATCACCAATGTTGATTGTCATAACGAGTTCATCTGATTAATAATCTGATCAACAAAAAAAAAATTAATGATTAAAAATATCCGTGATATCATAGAGATACACAAAGAGAGACAAGAAATAAAGAGAAAACCAAGATAACCAATATATCTATCTAGATCAAGATTTTTATATGCCAAAAAAAATTTGTTTTTATGATGATGATGATGATGATCTAAGGTATGTCGAGGATGATTAACAAATTGAAAAAGAAAGAAAGAAAAAACATTGAAATCCAAAATCAAAAACAAATTGATTAAAATTCAATTCAATTTCGATCTATAGGTAAAATAATCATAAACAAGAAAACCAAAATTCTTATGAAATGAGCAACCAACACAGAGAAAAAAGAAAAAGAAGAAAAACAAAACATTTGAAAACAGAAAACCAAACGGATACCTTACCTATGTAAATATTGTTGTTATTAATTTGTTGTTGTTGTTGTTGTTGATGATGGTGATAATCAAAACATTCATCGTTTAATGATGATGATGATGATGATGATGATAATGTAACCAAGTAGATCTACGTCATTACAAATATTTTACATTCATCATTATCAATATTATCAATAAACAAACAAACAAAACAAAAAAACATTGAAGATGTGTTCAATCATTCATCGGATATTTCTGTTGAGTAAAAATATATATTTTCTGGTATTTCTCTATGTTTATGCATGTAAAAAAAAAAAATATTTTTTCGATCACAAAAAATGATGATGATGATGATTGAGTTTTTTTTCCTTCTTCTTCTTCTCGTTCTTTTACCTTATACTTGTTTCTTTCTTTTGATCAAGAGTTTGTTTTTTCATCGAATAACCTTACCATTCTTGTGTGTGTGTGAGTTGATCATGGATCGTCTTCTCTTTCTGTTATTTATTTTTTTTCTTTTTGGGGTGGTTTTTTTGTTCAAGTTTTCTTTCTCTATCACTCAAAATATCCCTCTTTTTTTTTCATTTCCATTTTTGGTCGTATTATCAACATACAGCGTCCATATTATGTTCGTGTTGCGTTTGTTGTTGTTGTTATCGTTTTGGTTTTTTTTTGTTATCAGTATGCTCCTTCCTTTCGTTATCATCATCATCATTTTTTTTTTTTTTTTTTTGAAAAAAAAAAGATTCGACTCGATGATCCTGTTTTTCTTTTCCTCTTCATTGCTCCTCTATTCGGTGTTTTGATGATGATGATGATGATGATGATGGCCGTATACGAGCGCAGTTATAATATTCTTTTCAACAGAATGCTTCTACCTTTTGCATTGACCATTTTTTGTTGTTGTTGTTGTTGTTGTTGTTGGAACATTGGCTATTTGTCAAGGATATTTGTAGTATCTGTATGGATATTCATTTTCAAACTATGGTGTAGTGGTGGTGGTGGTGGTGGTATCCAAGACAACAACAAGCTTGATTTGCTCATCCAATATTGATTTGAAAAGCTTGCGCGCATATTGTTTTGTTTGTTTTTTTTTGGTTGAATTATTTGATCAGAATTTTTAAAAGCACCAATTTAATTATAGAATCAGATCGAATATGAATAAAGTTCATCAATATATGGATATAAATTTACAAAAATTAACAAAAAAAAAATTTGGATCTTTTTTTTAATAAAAAAAAAATACAAATGCAACAAGTAAAAAACATTCATAAACAATGTTATTTTATAATTTGATTCTAAATCATTAGATGGCGATATTGTTTGATTGAGTTTTTTCGAATTAAACAATAGAATTTAGAATTTCTGTTTTTGTTTTTGTTGTTGTTACTTTGATTTTCAGTGTTTGTTTGTTTGTTTGTTTGTTCCAAAACAAACAATCAAAGTTCATTCCATTTATTCCATGTTTTTCTTCATTATTTTAAAGAACAAAATCAAGAATTGCTATCTACAAACGATAATTCGTATCTATGCAAATAGAAAAGAAGTGAAATGAATGAATGACCATGATCAAATCATAATCACTTTGAAAATGATGAAAATTTTTTTTGACAAATCAAACTGGTAAACAATCAAAATTGCTCAACAACAATAATGATGATGATGATGATGATTTAAAGACAACTAATAATTTTCATTTGATAATAATAATTATTATTATAAAAAACTTAAAAAAAAATATCAGAAAAACCTTGTATTTATGATAATAACAATCGTTTGAACAAAAAATTCGTTTCAATATCATCAAACATCAATTAACTTGAAACTATATATGATAATGATATGTGTTGAATTGAATGAATGAATGCAAAAAAAAAAAATTCAATTTTCATTTTATTTATGGAATTTGTCAATTCTGTGTCCAAACAACAAAATCAAAATGTATGTATTTTTCTCATCTTAAATCAAATCAATGTTTATTTACATCTACGAATGTTGAATTAATTAATTAAAATAATTAATTTTCCATTTTTAAAAAAATTATATAATACTGAATGAATGTGGGTGGAGGAAAAAGGACTGGCTAGCTAATTTAATGAATAAAATAGTGATGAATGGATAGTGTTTAATGGGTGACTCATATATACAATTTGATATATACGCCATAAAAATAACATAAGATGTGTTTATAATCAACATAGAAAACTAAAGAGAGAGAGAGAGAGAGAGATGGATAGAGAGAAAAAGAGACACACACTACACACACATATATAAATACAGTAAATTTTCTTGAATATATTTTTTTTTTGCTTCCAATGTCTTTCCAATTCAATTCATACGATTTCATCATTTGCCCATCATCATCATAAGAAATATGCTTCTCCATTTGATCACTGTATAGAGTGTGTGTGTGTGTGTATATTGTTTTTATCATTCTGTTATAAAATTCTGGGAGTCTTTTTTTACTCGATTGTTTTTTTCTTTTGCTGTTATTGTTATTGTTTCTTTTGCAAAAATGAACAACAACAACAACATTGCAATGGCTCATCCATAACAAAATACCAGAAGAAACAAAAAGAAAAAAATGAATGGCGCCCATTTTCATTCATAAACTATCTAGTTGGTGTGTGTGTGTTTGTAAAATGAAATGAAATAAAAATTTTCATTTTTTATATGTTTGTTTTTTTTCATTGCTTCTGCTCTTTTTTTTGTTTGTTTGTTTGTTACATTGTAATATTTTGTTTCTGGATCGAATTCGGTTTTTCCTGTGAGTATCTGTTTATGATGTGGTTATTATTATAAAATGATAAATGAGTTACATCTTTTTTTTGCTTGCTTGTGTAAAAACTTATTTTCATATGGTATGTTTAAATTTATTTATAAATTTATTTACAAAACAAAACAAAAAATCCTTAGTTATAATCGTGATTATAGTTATAACCCGGAATTGTAAATATTTTTTTTTAATATATCCAACAAAAAAAAATAATTGATAAGAAAAGAGGGTTAGTATTTTTTGAAAAATAAAAACCAAAACAAATACATAAGCAATGAGGAATAGGAATAGAAAAAGTCAAATCAAAACAAAACAAAACAAATGAAAAAATTCATTCGAGGACATCGCCCTTGTCATCATCATTGCTATATTTGATGATGTTGTTGATGATAACGATAACGACGACAACATTGATAATAATGTTTTGTTTTGTTTGATGATAATCATAATCATTCAAACAAACATTCAACAACATGAATATGAAAAAAACAAAACCAATCATCATTTTTGTGTATGTTTTAGGTTTCTGTTTTTCTTTTTCTTTTTTCTTCAAACCTGATGAAAGAAATTTCATTCTTTTTTTTCCCAAAAAATTCAATGTTTGTATTTTGTAATCAAATACATAACTAAACTAACCGCTAATAATCAATACTGGTTATTTCATTTGATGTAAAAGTGAATCAAAATAAATGATAATTAAGATTTTGTTTGTTTTTACAGTCATATATGTTTGCTACTGTTTGTTTTGTTTTGTTTTGTTGAATGAATCCTTTTTTTTCATATTATAATAAACATAAACTTTGAGAAAATATATAAACAGGAATCATTAAACATTTAACGATTATCGATTACATAACTCATCAATTGACATATATGGTAAATTTTCTTTTTGGGTTTTTTTTCACATGATGATCATCAGAAAAAAATAACATTAAATGAAAACTGTGAATGAAAATGTACGAAAATCTTGTTGCTATTTTCATCGATTCACAATAATAATATTTCACATGGAAAAAAAATGAAAATTTTCCGTTATTGTAAAAAAATTTTATCGAAAAATATTTTTATCATCATCATCATCAGTTTACCGTGTATTGTCAATTTGACTTTTTTTTTTGAATGAATGTTTATATTCAAAAAATTTTTATTTCTTTTGATTACAAATGATGTTAACTGCTGCTGCTTATGATGATGGAACAAAAAAATATATATCCAAAACAACATAACATTATAATAATAATAATAATGTTTTTAGTAATATCAATCATCATTATAACATTTTGGCCAGGTAAAATATAATCTGATGATGATGATGATGATGATGATCAAAGATAATAACAACTTTTACGAAAACTGTATGTTTTCAGTTTTTAAAAATAACAAATGAATGTGAACAAAAATATCCTATATGTTTAATGCTATGAAAAATATCATCATCATCATCATCTTTTTTTGATTATCATTAAAATGATGATGTAAATGATCCTTTTTTTCAGTTCTTCTTTATTTTGTTTACACATTTCATTTCATTTCTACCCTAATGAATGTAAATATTTTGTGTGCATATAGTAAAATGAATGGATATCTTTCTTTTTTTTGTTTTGTTTGTCTTTTTTGTTATGTTTATTTTTTTCCATTATCTACGATTCGCTTGATGTGATATTCACAATTTTTTTGTCTATAGATTTTGTTGTTGTTGTTGTTGTTGTTTGTCACCAAGCAACAACCAGCAACAAATAGTCAAAAAATTGACTGTTAGTTAGATAGGTGTGTGTGTGTGTGGATATATTGGTTGTTTACCTGTGTGTTTTCAATCACATTGAACCGGTTTTTTTTAATAAAAAAATTTTCATTTTTAATTAAATTAAATTTTTGATTTTCTAATAAAAATATTAAATTTGAAAACATTTTTTTAAAAATACAAAATTCATATATTCAGATAAAGCTGATTTTGAATGATTTTTTACTTTGTTTCGCGCTTCATTTCGTGTTATTATTATTTATATTCGTCAATTTTTTTCCCAAGATTAAATTACAATATTTTTCTTTCTAAAAATGTCGACACCTATAGATAGATAGATTGATAGATTGGTGAGAGAGAGAGAGAGAGAGAATGAGAAAACAAAACAAAATTTCATCAACAACAGTTAGTTTTTGAATATATTTTTTTTTTTTTGTCTCTTTTCATAATTTCTCTCTCTCAAAACTAATCTCCATTGATATTTTTTTTCAACTGATTATCATTATTGTGATTTGACATTTATATTTTTTTTACTTGTCAACACACACACACACACACACACTGCAAGATAAATTGGAACACGAACAAACGATAATGATGATGATGATGATGATGATGATGAAAAAAAATGAGAGAAAGGGAGCGAGAGAGAAAGCGATTTTCTTTTTTCTTTCGAAATATAACATTATAATCATCACTGTTGTTGTTGTTGTCGTTGATCAATGATATGACCAAAATCGAAAAAATTGTTACCGTTATGCAAATGATGAAAATCTCCCATAATCATTTGCTGTGTTGCTGTTGTCAACAATAGTTTTTATTCGAATCCTTTTAGTTGATTTTCTCTTTCTCTCTCTCTCTCTCATCACTTTCACTCTTTATTTTTTTTTATAATGACGATACAATTTTTATTGTGTAAGAATGTCTTATTTTAGTTTATCAATCAATCAATCAAAAAATTGATTACAATTCATTTTCGAAAAGAAATATTCTGTTTTCATTTCAAAACAATTATCATCACGAATTTTTTTTCCATCTTTCTTTAAAAAAAAAAGTAATGAAATAATGAATTTTATTCATTGATTTGTTTGTTTGTCTGTGTGAAATTTTTTTGTTTTCTTTATCACTATTTTTGGTCATTTATAATGAAAAAAATGTGATGGTTGTGTGAATACACACACAAACAAGCAACACCTGTATTTGAATTTGATTTTTTTTGTTTGTTTGTTTGTTTGTCTGCTTCTTATTCGATAAACTTAACAAATTGGAAAAAAAAATTAACATTACTTTTTTAAATTATAAATCTAAATAGCTAAATTTTTGTTTTTTCATTATTTTCATTTTGTAGGTTCGATTCATTCAGTCAAGCAATGAATTTTTTCTATTTTATTTTGTCTTTATATGAACAATGTCACTACAGATATTGAATGTAAAACGGCCACCACCTTTGGCAACTACTACTAATGTATCGACGACAACAACAACAAAAATAAAAACAAGACGATCATTACAATTACGACCGCAATCACCTCATAATCAAAATCAATTTGACAGTATGATAGAAATAACAAATCATCAACATCAAGGATCATTGACGCCACCACCACCACCCATACAATCTCAACCTACCACCTCTTCAACTTCAATGATAACAACAACATCAACAATGGTAACATCATTACCATCATTACCAATGAAAAAATCAACAACAACAACAAAAACTATGGCTAAAAAACGATCCAAATCAGCATTTCGTTGTCGATTCTTTGTAAATGGTGATCGTCATTTTATTGGAATCTATTATGTTATTAATATTGATCGTTTACGTACACTTGATTCATTATGTCGTGAATTATCAAGAATTCTTGTGAATGTGGTATGTGTTTTTTTTTGAAATTTAGACAAAATCAAAATTCTGTTTTGGCAAAAAAAAAATAACAATTCAAATGACCCTGTCATTGAGATTAATTTTTCTTTTTCAATTCTTTAAATGGTATTTTACTAACACCTAATTGCGTAGGTTTCCCAAAAGTTTTTTTTCCACCAAATTTTCTGCATATCTGCAATAAATTTATCTTTAATCGAGTTGGAATGATGAATACTTATATTTCTTTAGAATAGTGTTATTTTCAACCTGTTTGCTTGTTTTTTTTCATGTCCCTGATCTTCCACCCTCTCTTACATCCGATTTTTTGTTCAGCAAAAAAAAAAATATTTTACACTTATTGAATTGAATTCAATTAGGATATTTCTACCCACCTTTCTAATCATTGTTCTTGGTTTGTTTCTTTCTTTTTTCTCATTCTTTTCTTTTTCTTTTTTTTGGACGCCTCTCTGTTTTTTTTCACGACCACCATCATTCTTGAATGAATAAACACACACAATGATGATGATTGATTAACAATGGCATTGATGATTATTATCATTTATTTTATTTCATTTTTATGTTTTTGATATATATAGAAAACATTACCATCAGGTGTACGAATAATATTCAATTGTAATGATGGTATAAAAATTAATTCTATTCAACAGTTTCGTCATAATGAAAATTATTGTTGCTCATCAAATGAACATTTTATACGTTTAGATTATATTACAATTACTAATAATAATAATAATAATAATTTATTATCGATAAATGATCGACAATCAACATCACCTGAACCAAAAGATTTGTTAATAAATAATAATAATAATAATACGATAAATGTAGCTAAAAAACAACAACCATCAACACGAACACCGTTAGCTAAACGTCGTATAGGTAGTGGTGGTAATATTTCCGGTACTAATAATAATTCAACAACATTAATGATGACAACATCATCAACAGCATCATCATCATCACAAACATTATCAACATCAACAACAACAACAAATGCAATGTCTTCAAATTCATTACAATATTGTGCATTTAGGCCAAAATTGGTTGCCTTATTACGTGGATCATGTCGTGCTGAACCATCGATGCGTCCATCACGACGTGTATTTCGTTTTCTATTTAATCATCGTATTGCACAAAATTATGAACAATTATTGAATGAAATATCAAAATCGGTCAAATTGAATGTTGGTGCTGTACATCGTATATATGGTCTTTCATCATCGAAAAAGGTTCGTTTGTTTTTGCTTATTGATTTTTCCTTGAAAAAAATAACAAATTTTCTTTTCTCTATCTAAATAAACAAACATAAATTTTTTGTTTATGTAGATAACCTGTTTAAATGATCTTTATGACGATGAATATGTCTATCTGGTATATGGCCGTTCGGAAAAATGCAATATTAACGATTTCCTGCTTGACGAATATGGTATTTGACATTTGAAATAACAACAAAAAAACAAGATTAACTCTCTTCTCACGATTTTTTTTGTTTGTTTCTTTTATTTTAGAACAACGAGAAATCTGTTCAATTGTTGGCGTTAGTTATTTAACGTCATATTATGAAAACAATAATGATCATAGTCTTAATTTGAATAATACGAATGCTAATAATAATAATGATGGTGGTGGTAGACATGCATTACCGCCATTACCATTACCATCATCATCTGTAATATCAAAAAATCGTAAAGTTGTCCGTTACTGTGATGATATTAATAATAATAATGATGCTGCAATCAATAAAAATCGTCGACGTTTTCAATCGAAAAAATTCAATTTTAATCGTAGCAATCGTTCAAAAAATCATAATAATAATAATAATAACGAAAAACATACAACAAAATCAAAAAATTTGAATTATGACAATAATGATGATGATGATGATGATCATAAAGCTTATTCTTTGCCAAGAAATTTTTGCATCCATAACAGTGATGATGATGATGATGATGACAATAATAATGATAAATGTCAAAATAATATGAAAAATTTTAATCACCATCATCCAAATTCTTGTCATTCATTATCATTAGACAATAATGATTTGATTGATTCGGATAATGATGATGATGATGATGATGATAACAAAGAAAATAATATTGAAAATCTAAATGGAAATGAACGTACACCAACAAATGGTCATTATAATCATCATAATCCACATTCATTTAATGATGATGATGAAACAGAAAATTGGAATTATAATTCAATAACGATGGTTACATCAGTTGATGATGATAATTATGATGTTATTATTGCTGATAACGATTTTAATGATGTTGATACTAATAAATATCATCAAAAGCGTAAATTACCATTGGAAAGTAAAAATATTGGTTCAATGTCATCATCGTCATCATCATCCGATCAAAATTCAAATAGATCAAATGGCAATTATCGGAATATAAAGATTTCAGATACAAATAGTCCTAAAACTGATGATCATTTATATTCTAGTTCGAATTCAAGTCTAGTCTTTGTTGGTAATAATCAAAAATTTAATGGTACTAATCATCATCATAATCAACAATCAATGCATCCAAATGCTAATCAATCAAATTCAAATTGTGATTTTCGATCTTCATCAATGACAACGACAACATCTACTACATCGACAAATACAAGCCAAAATCAAGGAATTTTTATTCAAAGTAATGGTAGCAGCACACCCGGTGATGCATCAACTATAAGTTGTTCAGATGATTTTTCTTTTACTTCAATAGATGTCGATAATTCCAATACATTGAATCATGATGAACAACAAAATTTTGTTTATGATGATGATGATGATGAAGAATCAGTATCGATAGATGATGGCCAATCTATTGTCAAATCGGACAATAATCTTTCCAAATCTCAACAACAAGAGAGCCATGATTCAGATTTATCATCAACATCTTCATTTTCTAGTCTTTCACGTGTAATTCCAGTTATAAACAATGTTCAACAGTGCCAACGATCATCTTCATTGGAAAGATCTGTTAACAATAACAAAAATGATAAAAAAATTCCACAACCAAAAGCAGCTATTTCAAAAATTAAATCCAAAGGTCAACCGATAGAACCACCATTATCTGCAGCGAATACCAAAATACATTTGATAAATCATACAAAAACAACAGCTAATACCAAACAACGTGTAACTAACCAAATAGGATCTGTATCCCAAAATCAAACAGCAGCTGCGGCAAAGAATACTAAGCCGAAAAAAATGTCCATCAAATCTTCAAATGTTGATGTTTCTCAACATGCAGCACAAAATCATAATCGAAGTCCAAGCCATCGGATTGGTTCAGGAAATCGAAACTCTTCAGGATCACAGCCAACCACTCCAGTCAAGAAAAAAATATATCATTCTCAACAGCCACAATCACAACAACGTCGTGCACCAGTTCTAACAACAATACCGGCCGCAACAAAATTTCAGCCAAAAAAAGAAGTTGACGATATTTATTTTGTCGACAAATCTATTGGTGATGGTAAATTTGGTGTCGTATACACTTGTATTCATCGTAAAACACGGCAAAGTTTTGCATTGAAAGTAGTCGATAAATATACTATGCAGCAAGTTTTTCCACCACCCCCACCACCACCACCAACAACAACATCATCATCATCAACATCTGGTCATAATAATAATACGGATAAATCGAATGATCCAGCAAATGCTGAAGTTGCAATTCTTAGCCGTGTAAATCATCCTAATATTGTTCGACTTTATGATCATTTTGATTATGTTGATCAATGTTATTTAGTACTTGAATTACTTCAGGTTTGAATCAATTATGATAAATGATCGTTTTTTTTTCTAAAAGACTTTTTCTTTTATTTCCAAAAAAATATATGTAATTTAGGGTGGCGATCTTTTTGATGCTATTACTGTTGCATCTCGTTATACGGAAGCTGAATCAGCATCAATGATAAGCGATCTTTTGAATGCTTTGAATTATTTACATCAAATGAACATTGTTCATCGTGATATAAAACTAGAAAATTTACTTGTATCCTATGTGCCAATACCAATGAATGATAATAATGATAGTTCTAATAATGAAACAATCAATAATAAAAATCTGCAACGTCAATATCGTCGTATGATTAAATTGGCTGATTTTGGTCTTGCCGTTCAAATTGAACCGGGTGAAAAATTATACACCGTTTGTGGTACACCTACATATGTTGCACCAGAAATTCTATTAGAAATTGGTTATTCATTTCCTGTGGATATTTGGGCTGCCGGTGTTATTCTATACATACTATTATCTGGTCAGCCACCATTTGCGAATGAAGAAAATGATCAGATTCAATTATTTGATCAAATAATAACCGGTAATTTTGATCTTATTGGACCACAATGGCGACATGTATCATCATCAGCAAAATGTATGATACTTTCAATGTTGGTCGTACAACAAACAAAACGTATCACTGCTCAACAAGTATTGAATCATCGATGGCTTTTACAATATAATAATAATAATCAGCTAATTAAATCAAAATTATCATCCGATTCGTTAGCCAATGATTACTTGAATTTATGATTGAATTTTTTTTAAAATGAATTTTCTTACTTTGAAATCTTTTTTTTTTATTTTTTCCGCCATTTTTTTCATTATGTCAATTTTCATATTTGTTAATTTTATTTTAGGTTGACAATCGATCAACCAACCAACCAACAACAAAAAAAAAATTTTAACCAAAAAAACATTGTGTTCATATTTTCTTTAGATATAAATTTGGATTTAAAAAAAAAATTTTTATTATTATCATTTGTAATTTTAATTAACTTTCTTGCTTTTGCGCCTTCAAAAAAAACAACAACAACAAGTAACAACAATTTCTATTTATATATTTATAAATATATAAATTATATAGATAGATTATAATATTTAGTGTCATGATTATCATTATTAGTAATTATCATTGATTGATTGATTGATTGATTGATTGATTGAATAAATAAATAAATTAACAAGGAATCTTCTGCTTTTTTGCTTAATATTCAATATTTATTTGTGTGATTGACTGTCCTTTATAAATTAAATGGACGTGCATACATTGATCGGTTGTTGTATATATATAGATTTTTGACATAATTGGGCAAGAAAAAAAAATAATAACAATATTTATAATTAATGAATTGATAAAGGTAATTTAAAGTGTAATAAAGTACAGCATATACATTGTTTTTTAAAAAATTTGAATTTTACTTTTTTTCTCTGTTTTCATTCAATTATGTGCGTTACTAATTTATTAAACGAACGTTTATTTAATTTAATATATTTGTCTTTTTAGAGATGTCTTGGTTTTGATAGATTTTCTACTCCAATTTTTCCTTTGTTGTTGTTCGGTGCAAATTCAATACATCTAGTTATATATTATGCGAAAATATATCGAAGAATTATATCAGCATTTTTGTTTTTTTCTTTAAATATTCGTTAATGATGATAATAATGTTGAACAACAATAATCAATGTTCATCAATATGATTGATAAAAATATGTTAAAAAATAATAATAATTTTATATTGTTAGTAGATAAAATATTGGATTGTCCAGATGATGACAATGTTTTCATTGTTTTGATCGTTTTGGATTTTTGATGATTTTCTTTATTTACAAAAAAAAATTGAAAAATCGTTAAAAAATATTATTTCTTTTAATATAAAAAAAAATACCATTAATATTTTCATTCTGTTGATGATTATTATTGTCCATTGATAATGATGGTGATAATGATGATGATGATGATGATGATGATGGTGAATAACGAAATTCGTAACTAGCCTTAAAACCAGTACCATCAAAACGACCATTTGATTTAAATGTAACACGAAAAAAATCACCATCCGATTCAATTGATTTTGGATGTTTTAGGCCACAATGTCTATAAACACGATGATCGGTCGTATATACATTTGAAAATTCAACATAATCACTTGCCGTTTCTAATGTACATCTGTGGCCAGGTATAGTGATTGTGAGAGTGAACGAAAAAAAAATAACATAAACGATGAGAAAAAAACGAAAGAAGAAGAAAAAACGATTAGATTTTAATTTGAAATTCTACAAATATTTTGAAGCAAAAACATACGGTGTAACGCCTTCAACATCAAAATGTAAAAATTGTATGTAGACTTTTTCGGTTATATTTCCATAGAAAAAATAATGACATTCGGTATCTTTTGGATACAATCCTAAATAGTAAATGTAAAATAATAATAATAAAAAAAGAAATTATTTTTAAAAAATAAAATCGTTATAACAACATCCATTACAGGATTGATTTTCAATTTTTCGTTGAAACAAACAAAATTTTTTTAAAAAAATAATTTTTTACCTGGATGATTTGGTGATGTAAAATGACCACGTTTTGTTTCGGTTGAATTATAAACAAACCCGCATACTATTTATTTTTTGGTTTGGTTGATGGAATAACAAAAAAATGTTGTTGATGATAATAATGGAATCGATTCTTAAAACTGTTAACACTTACCTGATTTAGAATCCTGACGTCCAGTTTCGATACCAAAATCTTTGTTGTTGTTGTTGTTGATTGAAATAGGGAAAAAAAAGCAAATTTATCAAATCAAAATCAAATTTGTAGGAAGAAAACAAAATTGAAATTATTTGCACTATGAGTTGCACTAGGAAAAGTTTAATGATGCGAAATTGTTTTGATAATAAATCAAAATTGGTACCAAAAAATAAAAACATGAAAAACATGGAAAACTTTATCATTGAGAATAATCAAATTCAAAAAAATAAAAATCATCGAAAAGCTTTGTATTCAAATCAATCAAATTAGGCAAATGTTTTTTTTCAGAAAAAAAAGCATTTGCCACACACTGAAATGAATGAAATTCAGATTTTATGCGAATAAAATATCACAAAAAGGCAATAAAGAATCTTTTTCTTTTTCTAAAATTTATTTATCTTATCTTTAAGTGAATAACACTCACTGGACGACACAGAATGAACAGTTTACTCATTCTGTTCTGCTATGAATAATCAACCAATAAGCATCCTTTCAACCAGAAACAACAAACTACTACTACACATCTTTCAATGTAAATTTGTTTAAATGAAAATACAAGATACGACAAAATAGAATTTTGAATATTAAAATTTCGACAAACAGCAAAAATCCATCCTATCAAAGTATTATTATTTAATTCTATGCATAAGAATTTCTTTTCTTTTTTCTTCCTTGCCTTGAATGTGGGAAAAAAATTTCTTCTTTTTTCTTGGTAAAAACTGAATAAACCGTTGATGATGATCCCGATGATGAAGGCAATATAAATTGACCGTATATAGTATAAGTGAAAATTTGATTCAAAATTTGAAGCTTAAAGTTTTCTTCTTTTCTCTTTCTTTTCATTCAAATTTTCTTTCAACAACAAACTTATTCTAACCATCATCATCATCATCATCTTTATTACATATTTGCAATACCCAAATTTTCTTTTTGTTTGCCAGTAAAAAAATGCAACGAGAATTACAATATAATTGATTAGGATATTAACACTTTCGGAGTTCAATTTTTCATTTTTCTCTTTCTCACCCTTTCCATATTCCATACACCCTGTATATTGAATATTAATGCCTCTTTTTTTTGCCTCAAAAACAAAAACTATCATCATCATCATCATCATATAAATGGAGCATTAAATTGCCCATTTATCATCATCGGTGGTGTTTTCATCATCATCATTGCATGAAAGGGTTGAAGATTGAATTTCATTTTTAAAAAAATTTTTGGTTGTTTTTTTTTTGCTGCAAATATCCAAGCAGCATCAGGTAATTATCGTGATTGTTTAACTTACTTGTTACAAAACGAAATGATGCTTTAAATCCTTTGGATCGATAACGATTAAATGTTCGTCCATATTGATCTTTATTTGTTGATAAATTTTCAGTAATTTTTTGCTGTTGTTGTTGTTGTTTATTTTTCATTGATTCTTCTTCATTTAAGCTACCATTATTATTCGTATTAGTATCATCTTCATCATCATCATCATCATCATCGATTCCAGTTTTTGGCAATTTATTCAATTTTGGACGTTTACGTTTTTTTCGTTTTCTACGTTTTTTTCGTTTGATATTCATATGATCATCATCATCGTCATTATCATTATCATTATCATTATCATTATCATTGTTTGTTTTATTTGATGAATCATATGGATTATCTTGTAACATTATATCATGTAATAATAATGATGATGATGATTGTGGATAATTAATTTTTTTATAAAATCTTCTATATGGTTGTGCATCATGATCTAATGATTTAAATTCTAATGTTAATCTATGTCCATTTGACATAATACGTGGTGGTAATTCTTGACCACAAAAATCATCTATCCATTCTTTTTGGCCATTTGTTACAATATATGCTGTAAGACTATCGGATATTTCGCAACTATTTACAAACAAAAAAACAAAACAGAAACAAAACAAAACAGAAATTAAAAAACGATTAAAATTTTATTCAAATCTTGAAAAGTTGGGATTTTCTGTTTCATTTCTCCATTTGCACATGCATTCAATTTGTTTATATTCACATAAATGAATTCAATCATTTGTGGTCATGTATGTTTTTTTCTATTTCTTTTGTTGTTGTTGTTGTTGTTGTTATAGTTATTCTTCAATCTTACCAACCGAAAAAAAACAAACAAACATTACAAATGATGTTAAGAAGAAGAAAAAAGTTTATTCCATGTCCGTTTAGTCGTTGAAATTATTATTATTGTTATTATCGGCATCATCATTATGGAGAGAGAGAGAGAGAGAGAAAGAGAGATTCTTTCGTTTTTTAATGTCGTTGTTCAGAAAAAGAAAACAAGAATTTTGTTTTTTTTTTGCGCGCGAATGAATTTCAACCGATAAGAAAGAGAGACGATCCAATCGGTATCGTCTTTTAACACACATATCTCTTTTCTCCTATTTTCTTCTTCTTCTTCTTCAACAGCAGCAGCTTTTTTTTCACTACTTTTCTTTGGGATTTTCGATTTATTGTTTCGATTTAGTTTTTTTTTGTGTTGAAGAGCCAAAGATATTCTGCAGACACAGAGAGAGAGAGAGTAAGAATATTCTGAGAAACATTTATTTTTTTTTTATTCTTCATCCATAAATGTTTATATGACTTATGAGCTGTGTGAAAAATAAATGTCGGTATTGTCGATATAGCCGAAAAAAAATATATATATCCGATATATGTTTACAGAGTAATAAAAAAAGAAAGAAATATAATGTCGATATTTATGACCAGTAAAGAATTTCGTTCTTTCTTTTTCTATTCTACGATAGGAATTAGCAGGAAAGAATACAGTGATGGGAAAAAAAGTAGAATGTGAATTGGTCAAATACCAATCATTCATTGGTATCATCATAATGATAATGATGGTAAATAATGGTAACATTTTTTTTATTATTAATATTTTACCGAAAATCTTTACTCAATCAATAAACGATTGATTGAAACTTTTTTTTATTTATTTCTACATTGAAAATATTTTTTATTACAAAACATAATTATCGATTATATCATTGATTCAATGGGAAAAAAAAATAAAAGTAAACTTTTTTTTTTCATTTTTCATTGAATATAAATTGTTTGTTTGTTTTGTTTTGTTTTATCTGGTCAAATGTATTTCAATCATCATCATCATCTTGATGTTTGGTCATTCATTTTTTTCTATATTTCTTTCAATTTTTTGTTTTGTTACATTATTATTTATAACTTGGTTATTGTAATAATCATAACTATATTCACCAAAATGGTAATAATAATGATGTGCGATATGTGAAATGAATGTAAAGATGATTAAAGAGAATGAGAAACAAATCTTTATTCTCTTATAGCCATTAGATTGAAAAATCATTACAACAAACAGAAACATTAACAACATTACAAATTCGAATTAGAGAATAACAATAACAGAAACTTTCGAATGATGATGATGATCATCATCATTGATGATGATTATAAGTGAATAACAATTGTCCATAGTCTCTCTTCTTTTTCTTTGTTTTTTCCAATATAAATAACAGACATACATATTAATCAATTTGAATTCAATTCATTCAATTCATACATACACATTCTTAATGTCATTTTTCAACTATTATTTTGTTATAATGATAATGTGTGTGTGTGTTTGTGTATCGATACTAAAAGTCCAGAACAAAAAAGTTTTTCTATTCTTTTTCCTATTTCTTAATGATAACAACAATGTTATTTTCTAATTTTACTTCACTATAGTGACCTTTATTTATTATTATCAAAAAAAACCAGAATATATTAAAATGATGTCCGATCATCATGTTTCAAGATGATGATTAAGATGTTTGTCTGTCTGTCTGTCTGTCTATCTATCTAATATTTTATTAATATAATAAAATAATTACATTTGTTTCTTAATAATAATAATAATATTCTGTCTGTTTGTTTGTTTGTTTTTATATATTGGACAAAAAAAAGTAAAGTATAATTTGAAAATTTCCACTACTTATTTAATATACAGAAGAAGGAAAACAATGAGAATAACATCGACAGAGCAAAAAATAAAATTAAATTCCGGTCTCGTATTTATTAAAAAAAAGAAAGAAGAACAATGTTGATCTAATAGAATTACATGTTTCAAAATAATAAACATAATAGACATATGTTTGTTTTTTGTTTTGTTTTGTTTTGTTTCACTGATCTGTTTCTATTTTGTTTTTTCATCTGGAATTTTTGTTTCTTTTACCGGGAATTCAATCAAAATATGGACAAGAGAGGGAGAGAGAGATATTCTCTATATTGTAATTTGATCAATTTTTGAGTGATTTTTTTTCCTTTCTATTTGCTTTCAAATTTCACCTGGTACCATCACCTGGACAACACATACACACACACACACACACACACACAATGTATCTGTATAATATTTGATTTTCAATTTTCAAAAACAAAAATAAAATGTAAAGTTTTTCATTTTCTTTCTTTCTTTCTTTTTTTCTGTGAATTTTCTATCAAGTTTATTTAATTTGATCAGAAAAAGAAAAAAATGTTGAATGTTTCAGCTATGTAAAAGAAACTATAACTAATTCAGCAAATAGACGGAAATTTCTCTCTTATTTTTTACTTTTTACTTTTAATTATTATTATTTGTCTTAGCATCGTTGAACAGAAACGAATAATAATTATGTAAAAAAAAGATTATATTCAAATCATGGAGAGAGTGAGAATGAATGTGAATGTGAATGTGAACCAGAAAAAAAGAAAAACAGAACAAAAAAAAAACTATATTCAATTTATGATATTAATATTAATGAAGTTGTGTCAATTAATTAAGCTCACTCTCTCTCACACACACGGTGAAACAAAACAAAACAAAAAATATGACAGAATAATATTTCGCATAATGAAACGATTATATTTCGGAATTTCGGTAAGAGTTGTGTGCGTTTGATGTGATGCCCAAAATGAAAACGCAGTAGAAGAAGAAGAAGAAAAAAAATGAAATTGTAATTTTTTGAACCAGAAACCGCTTGACTTGTTTGACGTTTTCATTATTTTTTCATATTTTTTTTGCTACCATCATCATCATTTTGATAGACCGCTTTTCTCCCTCTCTCTCTCTCTCTCTCTCTCTCTCTCTCTCTCTCCCTCTCTCTCTTGTGTGTACGTGTGGGTTAAATCG